CTCCTCCTCCTCCTCCTCCTCCTCCTCCTCCTTCTCCTCTTCCTCCTCCTTCTCCTGCTTCATTCTTGCTTCTAAATTCAATAAGATGAAGTGCTGGAGGTCACAGCACTCAAGATATTGTGAGAATATTTACAGGACCATTATTCCCTTCCTGTATTTAACAAAAATGAGAACCCTTTCAAGATCCTGGGTCAGGAAGATTAACTCCCTAAACTAAAGACAAAAATGATCAAAGAAGAGAAAACCAGATTATCCTTAAAATCTCATCAGGTCCCCAAAAAGTTAAGTCCAGAATCTGATGAACGAAAGACAGTGGGTTTCCCACAGCCACCACCTCTTCTGTATTACGCTGAAAGAATCCAGCCCCTGGGAGTAGCTCCCGTGTCAGGGATTATTTAAAGTCATTTCCATATTTTAAAAATCAGGGTGCAACATGAAAAAAAAGGCTTCCTTATTATTTCAATCTGTCATCTTTATATCTGTTCTATGTGTTCATCAAAAAGATGTTTCCTTTTGACTCCCATCTTAAGCTTTATTTGACACATAAGGAAAATTAAATCAGCCTTTGATCACTCAATAGTCACTAAATCTCTGAGGACAAAATTAGAGGGGAAATCTGCCCAAGCTCTTTCTAGACTAGACGCGTCTCTCCTGTGCTGAACAGCGTTGTGTGAGGCATGAAATGAAGAAGTCCACTCCGAATCAGGCACTGCACACCAGTGAGCATGCTTTAACACATTGTATAATGAAGGTTGACAAAATAAATTGTCATGCTGAGTGTGGCAGTGCACATCTTTAATCCCAGCGCTCAGGAGGCGGAGGCAAGCGGAGCTCTGTGAGTTTTGATGCCATCCTGGTCTACAGAGCAAGTTCCAAGACATCAGAGCTACACAGTAAAACCCTATCTTCGGGGATTTTTTTTCTTTTTAAAAAATTTTTTATGTGAAGTGTACATGTGAGTGTATTTGTATGTGTGTATGCATACAGGTGCACATGCTTGTGTGTGCATGTATAGGGGCCATAGGTCTATGCCAGCTGTCTCCCTCTATGGCTAGGCTAACTGGCCAGCAAACTCCAGGGATCTGCCTGTCTCTAGCCCTCCATTCTGAAGTTGTAAACAATACCAACACATGTGGCTTTGCACACATGTGCTGGGAATCCAGTCTCAGGTCCCCATGTTTACATGACAGGCACTTTACTAACTGAGGCATCTTCCCAGCCCCAAATTTTCTTAATCTAAAAGTTCTGTTTTCTTAGGAAGTAGTAGAAGTCATCTGATTCATGTCAAATAAAAATATTAAAAGGGGGCCAGCCAGATGGCTCAGTGGGTATAGGTGCTTGCCACCAAGCCTGACGACCTGGTTCTGATCCCCAGGAACCACATGGTGGAAGCAGAGAACCAACTCCTGCAAGTTGTCCTCTGACCTTCACACACACACACACACACACACACACACACACACACACACACACACTAATACATGTAAAAAATGAAAAGAAATAAAACCCAAAGCAAGATTTTGCAAAGTAAGAAAAACTTGCAGTGAAAGGTGATTGGAGGGACCCACGAAGGATATCAAAAGGCTCCCTAGACAGTGAAAGGAGATTCTGAGCACAAGCACCCCAATTCTTCAGAAATACAAAGATCAGGCTTCCTCAGCAATTGAGGGAGTCAACCATAAAAAACATAAATCATTCTTCTTCCCGTTCACGAGTCAGGGATGAAAAGTTAAACGTGAGTGGTGCTGTCAAGTCCAACAGCCCTGAAATAAACAGACATGAAGGACACTATCAGATTCTGAAATCAGAATCCTTCAAAACTTTCAGATATTTCCTCCAGAGCATTGGTCGTATCCCAAGTTGAGACAATGGGAATTCTTTACTCTGTTTTATCTCTCTGTACCATTTGCTGTTCCAACAACAAATGTGCGTGACCAGAAATAGAGAATGCATTCTTCAACCTTATTTTGAAGGCATGATAGCTCACACCTGTAATCCCAGAAGAGGTAGGTCTGGTATACACAGTAAGTTTCAGACTAGCCAGGACTACACCAGACCCTGTCTTAAAATAAAGAAAAACAAAACAGAAATTTAATATGATTCTGATAAATGTATTAACATTTTTTATTTGGGAGTACAAGGGATCAAACCCAGGGATTTGTGCATCTAGGCAAGCACTCTGCTACTCATCCCCAGCTCTACATTAGCAGTTTTTTTAGACAGGGTCTCACTAGCAAACTCCAGGGATCTGCCTGTCTGGCTAGCCTGAAACTTGCTGTGTAGATGAGGCTGGCCAGGAACTTACTGGGTACATTAGGCTGGCCTAGAACACACAGACTTGTCTCTAAGATCTGAGATCAAAGGCATGTGTCACCATACCTGGGTACATGAACATTTTCAAAAACAATAATTAAATAATAGCTGTGAGCTAGCAAACTTTTAACCCAAAACACATGATAATGTTCCCCAGAATAGCTCTGAAAAAGTCAGTTCCCTTTCCTAAGGGACCGTATACATTAAACACCTGCAGTCATCACTTGATTAAATTTGAAAATTATAGTCCTGTCTACTTCCATAAATAGCTTTGTGTTTTTTTTTTAATTTGGTTTGGTTTTGGTTTTTCAAGATAGGAGTTCTCTGTGTATCCCTGGCTGTCCTGGAACTCGCTCTGTAGACCAGGCTGGTGAATTTAGAGATTCACCTGCCTCTGCCTCCTGAGTACTGGGATTAAAGGTATAGACCACCACACCTGGCTAGCTGGTCGAAGTATAATCTGCTACTATTTGTTTTTCTGGGGATTTCTTCTACAAATTTTCAGAGGGCGAAGAAGGGTGAGCCGGAAAGCAGCTGAGGCAAAAAGCTAGGAGAGGCCCAAGTCAAGCTTCCTCAGCGGCGTTAATTCCCACAGTCGGCCCTTTCCCTTCCTCAAGATGGCGGCCCTGGCGACCGAGCGGGCGCGCGCGCGCAGCACCCTGGGAGCGGAAGTCCATCCTGCGGCGGCAGCCAAACCGGAAGGGGAGGCGCTGGGGCCTGGAGGAGCGGCCTGGATCGCTGCGGTCGCCGGTGTTTGTGGGTCGCAGGGAGCCGGGCCGGCGGGCGGGCGGGCTGAGTCGCGATGCCGGAGCTGGCGGTGCAGAAGGTGGTGGTCCACCCCCTGGTGCTGCTCAGTGTGGTGGATCATTTCAACCGGTGAGCGGGCGGCGCGGGGCGGCCACCCGGCGCGGGGCTGCTGAGTCACGGGCGCCCCGGGCTTAACGCGGCGGCCGGGGACGCGGGCGGGGGGCGGGCGACCCTGGCGGCCCCACACCGCGGGGCGCGGAGCCGAGTGGCACTCTCGCACCCCCCCGCCGCCTCCGCGGCCGCCACTCCCGGGCCTGGCCCGCCTGGTGAGTGACCGGAATCTGGACCACGCTCCCCCGCCGCAGCCGCGCCTTTTTCACCAGGGCGGCTCGGTGTCCCGGGACTGCGCTTCAGTCTCTCGTGTCCGTGCCTGTGAAAGCTGTCACCCAAGTGCTGGTCACCGAAATGCTGGTCCCCGATGAACGACTCTATAGATGGGCATCGGTGGTAACCACCAAGTTTTAAACGGGAATCTGGTTGGATGGGACCTTAAAAATGTGGATGATTGCCGGGCGTTGGTGGCGCACGCCTTTAATCCCAGCACTCGGGAGGCAGAGCCAGGCGGATCTCTGTGAGTTCGAGGCCAGCCTGGGCTACCAAGTGAGCTCCAGGAAAGGCGCAAAGCTACACAGAGAAACCCTGTCTCGAAAAACCAAAAAAAAAAAAAAAAAATGTGGATGATAAGGTGCCAGCTTTTTCCCTAAATAGTGAAGCAGGTACGGATCGGGGCCGTCCTACAGTTCACCTGGTTAGCTCCCTGCCTCTACCACCCTTCCCCAGGCGCTCATCCTGCCAGACCTGTTGCACGTGTTTGGAAGTTTTACAAGATAATTAGTTGAATTAACAAATGTGAAAATCCAGTAAGGAGCCCGTGCTTGCTGTAAAGTCGTGCTAGTGCCCGGCCCGAACCAGGCTTTGTGCAGCTAACTCAACCAGATCCCCAAACAACCTCGGGATGGAGGGGTTTGATTCCGGGTTCAGTTGTATGGCACCTAGGAGCTTCCTCGGTATTAACTGGATCTGCGGGCCTTCTACAGTAGCTCCAACTTGACTCCCTTGGGATACTAGGGCCCTGATAGTTGAGTACTGCTTCAGTTTTATTCCAGTACTTGATAAGAACCAAGTAAGGGCAGACCCTGCTGGTGGCTGGCGTGGAACAGATGGAGGGTTCTAAAGACACAAATGGACTTTTGTGAACTAAAAAGGCCCGTGGGTGGAGTTTCCATTGACATGTGGAAACTCACACTGTTTGAAGTATTTCCAGTGGATTGGAGGGGGCGGGGACACCAGGAATTTGGAACCCTTAATTCATTCTACCAGTACTCCAAATGTAGTATTGATTTGCCAGGCCCTGTGTTAAACTACTACAGTTAAACTAATGTGAGACTTGGGACTGGTGAAGAGGTGTAGATCATTTTAACTGTGGCTTGTATGTTTCCTTAGCAGGGAATCTCCTGCTAAGTATCTCCAAATGTACGGTTTGCTAGTGGTTACAGAAAAGATTTCTTTGCAGAACAATATGCTTGTACCTCCTTGACAGAAAACCACAGGGGAGCTTTGAGATGGAGACTGACGTGAAGCAGAAGCCTTCTCCCTCATCCATCCTTTCCCCCTGTGCTTAGTCACTAGTTTCTTGCTATCTTGGCCTAATAAGCCAGTGAGAGAGGCTGCAAAATGGCACACTCGGGCTTCGGAGCAGGAATCTCCCCGGGCCAGTAGCCCTTCCGAGGATGGAGTACATCTCCTAGAGCTGGTTGCCATGGTACGGAGGTTCTAGTATTGGCTGTGCCGCTCTAGCATCCCACCCCCAGGAGATTTCAGTGTAGAGAAGACAGTTTAAAGGACAAGAAAACTGGGAAAGAGAAAAAAAAAAAGCATAAATTTTCTCCAAGCAAGTATCTGCAGTCTTTAGGAAGTAACCTTCCAGTGTGTGGTAGGCTAGTTTCCTTATCTTTAATACCAGGAACTAACCTGTTACATTTGTTTATGGGCTTAGTTCCCGGGTAAACTCAGTTGTATCTGTGCTGTTGATACTTGCCACTGAGTAGCTATCTGTTGGGGCGGAGTGAGTGTCTGCGTGCCTGTGAAGACGGACCACCTGTTTTTCTCTTTCAGAATCGGCAAGGTTGGAAACCAGAAGCGGGTTGTTGGTGTGCTTTTGGGGTCATGGCAAAAGAAAGTACTTGATGTATCCAACAGTTTTGCAGGTAAAGGATAAGCTTTTGATTTTGCTGAGCATGGTTAGAATGTGGGTTTACTTATGGAAAGTGAGTATTTTTTTAGACAGCCTGAAGATCCTATTTCGGAATTGCTGACTGAGCCTAATGGCTACACACTAGTGAATATTTTTAACTTGTAGCCTGCATTGCAGCTGCTCATCTCATGGAGTGAGTGCAAGAGCTGCTGCAGATTGGGGAAACATAGAAGTGTGGCTGCATCTCAGAACAAGCCTTCCGGATACACAGAACATTTGAACACTGGCTGTGGTCGAGCAAGGAGGAAGATGGGGGTGGCGGGGAGACCACTGTTGACCTTACGCTCTGTCATGAATCTTTACCAAAACGTTACATGTATGTTCCATGTGTTGCTGGCAGGGTCCGTGGTCTATAAAGGGACAGTGGGTGTTGTCTAGAATTGGCCATGCAGGAAATGTCAGGAAGAACCGGACCTTTAGCAGGCCAGAGAGTGTGTGTCCTTGTTGAGGCTCTTCCCGGGGTAGCTGAGTCTTTAGCATCTAAGAGTGGCTGGAGGGCTGGAGGGCTGGGTGAAGGCGAAGCAGTGCTGCATTGGACAAGGGAAGCATCGGATCTGCGGGCTGAGGTCCACTGTGTCTGAGCCTCTCACCCTAGAAGTCTTCATTTCCTTTTCCCTCTCTTTAGTACCATTTGATGAAGATGACAAAGATGATTCTGTCTGGTTTTTAGACCACGATTATTTGGAAAACATGTATGGAATGTTTAAGAAGGTCAATGGTAAGTCTGAGTTCCTAATTGCTTGTGTGTGTGTGTGTGTGTGTGTGTGTGTATAAACCTGGTGGCTTTGTTTATTGTCAAGGATCAATTGCCTTAGCTGGACTAAGTGAAAATAGACAAGTGGTGGGTAATCAAGAAATGAGGCGGGATAGATAAAATACGGTAGTCGTTTAAGGCCATGTAGACCATCTGGGCTGGAGGCAGGGCTGGCCCTGGGGTCTACATGCCCCTAGAGCATTAGTACTGGCAAGGTGTGTTGTTGCGTGTTATTTCAGTACAGCAGCTACATCTCTGTGGATATACTCACCCCACCACACAGCTCCACCTGTGGGATGGGAACATGCATTTATTTGTTCATATTGCTCTGTAATTGATATCTGGTTGCTTCACGTGTGACTAGTCCCTAAGCAAGTCTGCGATACAGGTGTGTCTGGGTCACACGGTGCTTATTTTCTTAGAGTTCTGTTTTGGGGTTTTAGATTTCACAGATGTGTCAAGATTGATTGATTGATTGATTGGAATTCTCAAAAATGTAGAAAACTTAGGTACTGCTGTTCTTATTATTTTGAGCCAGTTGCACAGATCTTGGTGAAATAATTAAGACTTACTAAGTTTTTGCTTCTCAGCCAGAGAAAGAATAGTTGGGTGGTACCACACAGGCCCCAAACTGCACAAGAACGATATCGCCATCAATGAACTCATGAAAAGATACTGTCCCAACTCTGTAAGTACACTGTTCTCAGAACTGTGCCAGCCACTCAGGGCATCGTCGGGACCGGGCTAACAGACCTTCTGTTGCTGCTTCTCCAGGAGCTTTGCAGTCAAGTGCATTGCCCAGTACTTTGTTGTAACCTAGTGTATTTAGCAAGTAACAGCACCTGTGAGTGCCATGTATGTAACTGAGTTAATCCTCTCAGTAACTATATGTTGTCTTTATAAATGAGAAAGTTAAAGTTCAGAAGGGTTAGGAGGACCAACAAGGTGGCTTGGTGAGGAGAAGCCCCCGTCGACAAATCTGACAAGGTCTTTCTCCCTGGACCACACGGGGAAGGAGAGAACCAACTCCCACAATTGTTCATTCACGTGCTCTCTCTTTCTCAAAGTGTAATTTTAAAAAGTAGTTTAGCAGTACCCTGCCTACTGGGTAACTTTACACATCACCATGCCATGCCTGGCACTTCACATACCTACAATGCTAATGTTTCTCCACAGCCTGATGTTCCTAGTCTGGCATTTATATCCATGTCTTCATCTTGCCTAGTATACTGCATGCACACTTTTCACGTGGCTAATTCCTGCTATTCTTCCAGGCCTGACCCAGCCTCCTTCAAGGAGCGTTTGTGATCTGCATGGGATTAGGTAGCCCTTCCCTGTCTTGCAAGAATTATTGTTTGTTGATGTTTGACCTACACTGGATTACTGCTTTCTGCTTTCTCCACTACTGAACCCTGAGTCCCTCGTGGAAGGTTTTGTTTGCTATCCCTTACTCATTTTTGCAATCCTCATGAAAAAGTCTAGGTAGTTATTGAATAAACAAATGTTTAAACAAATTCACACACACAAAAAAAAGTAAATTTAAAAAAAAAAAAAAAAAAAAGGTCAGTAAGACCTGGGAGGGAGTGGGCAGAGGTTGACATTTGGGCTCCTGTGATTTGATGGCACATGTGAAATAGAAACTTATTTTTTGCTGACCATTCTGACTTGTTTCTAATTGGAAGAAGAAAATGGTCTGAGTGACCGGAAGAGAGGCTGAAGTTGTACTTGTCAGGAGGGACGTTTGCTAAGCTCTGTTTCCTCCAGGTGTTGGTCATTATTGACGTGAAGCCGAAGGACCTGGGACTTCCCACCGAAGCTTACATCTCAGTAGAAGAAGTTCACGATGTAAGTCGCTTGTTTGGGGCTGGAGATAAGGTTGGCGAGTTCTTGGGTAGGTTTTTTAGGTTTTGTTTTTGTTTTGTTTCCCATGTTCAACTGAACAGACCTTTAACTCTATAACAAAAAGATGTTGGTTCCTGCTAGCAGACTAGCCTTGAGTTTTTGAATCATCAGATTTTAGAAATAGAAAAGGACCAAAGAAACCTATAATCTTTTTTCACTAAAGAAACTAAAGCTCTGAGTAGTTAGATGATGCCCAGAGACCTTCACAGCAAAGGAAAGGCCAGGCCCGAGAGCTAATTCCTGATCTAGTACAGTGTACAGGAGCCTTTTGAAGATTTCGGTCCCAATTTCAAATACGGCAAGAAGAGCTGTCAAGTGCCCGGAGGCAAGACCTGTGGTCTTTTGTCACGTGGGTGTCAGTGAGCAGTAGCCAGCCTTTCTCTGTCCTTAGGAAAGCTGGTTGTGAGTTCTTGGGTAGAGCCTGATATAACAGGGTTGTGGAGTGAGCACAAAGTATTTATATTAGGCTATCCATGGATCCCAGTCTTTAGAGTCAAGAGGGATTGAGATTGTAATATTTCTCTTACTATACAGTTTTAGAATTTGAAAAAGGATGTTCTAGGGTGGCTCCCTCCCAGCCTTACTTAAAGCCTTGTCCTGGTTTTCTGTTTTTTTGTAGCTCCAGGGAACTTAGATCCAAATGTGCTGTTTGGTTGCAGTAAAGCTTTATCCCTGGTCTTGACCAGGCTGTCATGAAGTCCTAAAGGACTGGAAGGCTCGGGCCAGCTTAGTGTCCAAAGACTACGGTGCCTTTGGGGGATTCTCACACCATCCTGAATAAAATGAGAGCCAGCCACACTTCATCAGGCCCAGTGTGTAATATGAGACCTGTCTGGGCCCTGTAGTTCACTCTGCACAAGCTGGTAGAGCCCTGTAGTCTACAGAGCCCTCATGGGAAGGGCACAGCCTCTGCTGACAGACGGGCTAAAAAGTGTCTAGTGTCTGTCTTCTCAAGTCCACCACTGAGTCACGGGGTGGTCAGGTGAACCAACCCCCACCTCGGGTGAATTCCTTCCTTCAAACTACTGGTTACTCAATGTGTCACATTTAGGGCTCTTGGGTCATTTGGTTCATGGGACAGTACGTGTTGAGGTTAAATTGGTTGGCATCAGTGTGCCTCAAGTGCAGGGGTTCCGTGTTTTCCATTCTAAAAATAACTGAACTCTTCTCCTGAGTCTTCTGAGCATTGATCCCCAGGGATGGGCTTGAGGGAATACCCCACTCTTCCTTGACCAGAAAAATTTCTTGAGAGAACAATTTAGTGGCGACATGATGTGAACAAGCTAACGACAGTGTCCCGGCAGACCCGCCTCAGCCCTGGGGGCTTGTTTTTCAAAGCAAACAGCCATGAAACGTGCTGACGGGCAACAGAAGATACGGGTGTGAGAAGAGAAACATGCCAGTTGGCTTGTTGAAAACAAATAACAATAGTTAAGCCTCTTCTCGCAGGACGGAACGCCAACATCAAAAACTTTTGAGCACGTGACCAGTGAAATTGGGGCAGAGGAAGCTGAGGAGGTTGGAGTGGAACACTTGCTGAGGTGAGACGGGGAGGCTGGGGGAGTGACTGGGCGGTTAGGAGCCCTGGCTGCTCTTGCGGGGGACCCAGTTTCCAGCACCCACAGGACGCCTCACAACCACCTGCAAGGGTGCTAGAGACATGCATGGTGCACATATAAACAGGCGTGCACACTGGGCGTGGTGGTTGGTGCACACCTTTAATTCTAGCACTTGGTAGGCAGAAGCAGGTGAATCTGAGTTCGAGGCCAACAGGGGCGGGGGTGAGGCAGGTGAGGCCTTTGTACAGTGCCAGAGTCAGCTGCCTAGAGAACAGAATGTGTGGAAAGGACCTGGTAGGAGTTGAGCTCAGGGTCAGGTTATCCACTATGCTCTCTTGACATGAATCACAGCCCTTTCTGGGCCTTTGGTTTCTTTCCTTTTGGCTTTTTAAAACAGGGTCTCACTGAAGGCCAGGCTAGGCAGTCACCATTCTCCTGCCCGTCCTGCAAGGTGCTGGCATTAAAGGCGTGAGCCACCACTTCTAGCCGTTTGATTTATAAATCACCATGGTTGAACAAGTTCACCTCTAAAGTGTCTTGACTGAGGATGTATGACTGTGACAGGATTCATGTGTGTAAACGCAGGCCTGTGCTCTCCAGTGAACACTATTTTTACAGAGAATCTTCATCCAGGCATGGGATTTGTCTGTGAGCCCTACTTGAAAGATTTCATTTTCACCTTGGGGTTTTGAAAGTGACTACTGACTGATTTAAGCTACTCAACATTGTAGCAAAACAGGTGGGAAAATGTCATCCTGTATAAACCAATGAAGCCAAGGCAGAGCACTAAACAAGGTTACCCATGAGGGCTGGAAAGATGCCTGTTGCTGGGAACCTGAGTTTGGTTCCCAGCATCCACTTTAGGTAGGTAGCTCACAGTCCCTGTAATTGCAGGGGAATCAGATGCCCTCTTCTGGCCTCTGAGAGCATTGCACTCACACATACACATAAATTTAAAAATAAAAGTTTCCAAAGACCCAGGTGACCAGGAAGTTATTGCTGATCTGAACTGTTATCCCAGACAGCCCTTACATTTGTGGGCATGTAACCTGATGCTCTTCCTGCCTTTCTCGTGGGTTGTTCCAGAGACATCAAGGACACTACAGTGGGAACTCTCTCTCAGCGGATCACAAACCAGGTCCATGGTTTGAAGGGACTGAACTCCAAGCTCCTGGACATCAGGAGCTACCTGGAGAAAGTGACCAGTGGCAAGCTGCCCATCAACCACCAGATCATCTACCAGCTGCAGGACGTCTTCAACCTGCTGCCGGACGCCAGCCTGCAGGAGTTCGTCAAGGCCTTCTACCTGAAGACCAATGACCAGATGGTGGTGGTGTACTTGGCCTCCCTGATCCGCTCGGTGGTCGCCTTGCACAACCTCATCAACAATAAGATCGCCAACCGGGATGCAGAGAAGAAGGAGGGACAGGAGAAGGAAGAGAGCAAGAAGGAGAGAAAAGACGACAAAGAGAAGGAGAAGAGTGATGTGAAGAAAGAAGAGAAAAAGGAGAAAAAGTAAATGGTGTGGCTTTTTTATGTAAATTAAAATCTTATAAACTAACTCCGTGTGCCGCTCGAGGGTTCTTTGTCCCAGTCAGTGCTTGTTAAAGCTGTTCTGACAGCTCTCTGCCTGTCACCCTTGCTGTGGCCTTTGCGGAGTCCATGGACAGAAGGACGGCTCGCAGCCCTACACTGCAGCTCCAGCTGCATGCCTGGGGGATGCGGGGGACAGTGTAACCTTTGGCGGTCTTCCTTCTTTTACCCTTCAAACCGGCATTGGGTGTGGTTTCCTGTCTAAGATCATGGGATCTGTTGGTGGTAATTGGCAGAACTGCTAAATGGAATTCTTGGATCCCATCCGCTGTGCTCTGACCCTTCTGAACTCTTGAGACCACACCACATTGTGGACCTCTAACTCTAGCATTCTTAGGGCTCGGGCTCCCAGGTCCATGTACTGTTTACCTTCAAAGATACGATTAAATGACTTGGTTTTTAAGTCTGTCCTAGTGGTTTGTGTTGTTTTCAAGAGCAAGCAAAATGGTTTTCAGTGGCTGCAGCAGCAGGTCCTAGGAACTCTGGGCACCAAGTTAATGGCAGTATTAACTAAGAATGGAACGCTGAGAAATGAATGTCCACAATGAGGGATTTGACACGGGCTAGTCACCCAGCTGTCAAGTCATCTTGTTATGTTTTTTGAGATAAGATCTCACTGTGTAGCCCTGGCTATCCTCCCAAGTACTGGAATTAAAGGCATGCACCCCATACCCCACCCTGTCAATTCCTTGAACACCCACAACATCCTTGAGAATTTTCAAGTGTACCACTTGGGTTAAAATGTTCACAACTTTAAAAATACTATAACAAAAATTAACAATAAAATGAATGAAGTTAAGATCAGAAGCACAAATTACCCATAGACACGCCAAAGCACCAGCCAGTCAGAGCAAACATTGACAGTTAAATGTAAAGAGCTGTAGGTAAAACCTGTGTAGGTCACAGAAGTTCATTTAAATTCTGAGATATGGAGGGCAAATGAATTTAGTCTAGAATGGAGATGTTTGCCACATCTAACTGGGTAAAAGAAATGTACATGATTTAAATTTGAGATGGGGAGGACCCACAAGGCCCTTCCCTCCTGTGGATCTACAGGCTGTGGTTGCTGGGCAGTCTTCAGTAGTGGAGCTGTTGGTACACTGCTGTAAGTAATCCTAAATCAGCTCGCTGGGTCACACGCCCACGAGAGACACGAAAAGAAGGGGGTAATGGGTGAATATGATCAAAACGCATGCGTGTATAAAAACATTGAAATGGAGCCCATTACGGGATACATGCCAGGAAAAAGTTTAAAACAAGATGGAGCCCAAATCACTAAGTTGAAGATTTGAAATGGGGTTGCCATATTTTTTTTTTTAAATGAGAAAGCCTGCCTGGCCAGTGGTTTTTCTGTTGTTTTTTGTTTTTGTTTTTGTTTTTGTTTTTTTAAGATTTATTTATTATGTATACAGTATTCTGCCTACATGCATACTTGCAGGCCAGAAGAAGGCACCAGATCTCATTACGGATGTTTGTGAGCCACCATGTGGTTGCTGGGAATTGAACTCAGGACCTCTGGAAGAACAGCCAGTCCTCTTAACTGCTGAGCCATCTCTCCAGCCCCGGGGTTGCCATTTTTAGAAAATGCTAATGGAAAAGAAACTAGACAGTTAAAACTTTTTTCCCAGGGCTGGAGAGATGGCTCAGGGGTTAAGAGCATTGACTGCTCTTCCAGAGGTCCTGAGTTCAATTCCCAGCACCCACATGGTGGCTCACAGCCATCTATAATGAGATCTGGTGCCCTCTTCTGTATACATAATAAATAAATCAATCTTAAAAAATATTTAAAAAAAAAAACTTTTTTCCCAAAAAAAGTTAGGAAAAAACAGGTTGCCGTGGTCCTGAAACTTGGGGTAGGAGGAATGTGGAGAGTCATCTGAAGAGCAGGTCCTTGACATAGAAGTCCAGGGCTGAGCGAGTACCTGAGCTGAGGCTATGCGAACTGGACTTCAAGCTTCCCCATTTTGATGAACTGGATATTTACTGAATAAGAGCATGGCTGTCTCGACTTACTCTGTTTAATAGTTTGACCCACATGTGGGCAAAATGGACTATTACTTCCCTAATGGGGCCTTCGATTTCTAAAGAAAATAGGCTAGTGGTGTATCTCGGTGGTAGTTTGCTTGCCCAGCACCTGTGAAACCCTGCACTCAGTCTCCAGCACAGCCTAAAGCAAAGAGAATATAACATAGGAGGCAGGGACAGGTAGCTGTGAGTTCAAGGCCAGCCTGGTCTACACAGCAGGTTCCACAACAGCCAGGGTTTTTTGTTTGTTTGTTTTTTATCATTGTGATATGCTACCTATTTTTTTTTTTAAAGATTTGTTTATTTTGTATACAGCATGTATGACAACAGGTCAGAAGAGGGCACAAGATCTCATTACAGATGGTTGTGAGCCACCATGTGGTTGCTGGCATTTGAACTCAGGACATCTGGAACAGGAGTCTGTGTTCATAACCTCTGAGCCATCTCTCCAGGACTTTTTTTTTTCAATGCCGAATGCTGTTTATCGAAGGAGGGAGGAGGTCTTAAAAACAGGCTTACAGCACAATGGGAGAACCCCAGAGGGCAGAAGTTTGCTACCAATGTTTTACAATCTTTCATCTAAGCTGTTAACACCCATTATGCAGGATACACAGACAAGGAACTTCCCTTAAGCATTCAGGAGGGTGGAACCCGGCAGGGAATTAACATAGGGAGGATATCAAGGTCAAGGTCAACAAGCAAGGCAACAGTTACACAAAACGGGGGCCAGGGACCTGCAGTTCCCCCTTTTACTAAAAAATGAGCTTCTGACTTAGGGTGCGTGGGTAGTCAGCAAGGCACCCGTCATAGAGACGCCTGCCCAGGACACACAGGCGCTCTGTCTTAGGTTGGTGAGTGCCCTCCAGGTATTACCCATCTCTGAATACTCATTATCATACAGGCTCAATCATGTGTGAGTTGCAGAGTTAACTGCTGCCAAAGATCCCAAAGTGGCACTGGGCTTGCAATCTGTGTGTTCGACACAGAAAAGACCAACAGAGGTCCTATCCCACCCATAGCCAGTAGGCTAAAGGCAACTGAGCCATTCCCTTCCTTAACGAGCCTTACTGCAAATTGGAGTCCTTGTAAGATGGTATCCCAAAAGCAAATGTGTGGTGGTATTGTGTTCCCCAAAATATTGTGTACATTAATAAACTTATCTGGGGTCAGAGAACAGACAAGCCACTAGTTAGGCAGTTATAGCACACGCCTTTAATCCTGGCATTCCAGAGATAGAAATCCCTCTGGATCTCTGTGAGTTCAAGGCCACATTGGAAATAGTCAAGCATTAATCCCAGAAAGCCAGCCTTTAATCCCAGGGAGTGGTGGTAGAAAGCACAAAGATATATAAGGCGTGAGGACCAGAAACTAGAAGTTTTTGGCTGGTTAAGCGTTTGGCCTGGTTAAGCTTCAGGCTTTTGAGCAGTAATTCAGCTGAGACCCATTCCGGATGAGGACTCAGAGGCCTCCAGTCTGAGGAGACAAGACCAGCTGAGGATCCGGCGAGGTGAGATAACTGTGGCTTGTTCTGTCTCTCTGATCTACCAGCATGGACTCCAATAACTCGCCTCAGGTTTGATTTTATTAATAAGAACTTTGAAGATTCCTGCTACACAAATGGAACTTGAGTTTATAAATTTATAATTTTCAAAGCCAATCGAAATGTATATAACTATTGAATTAAATTTATCATGCCCAATAGAATGAAAGATTAATTAACTGTTATAGCTACTTTTGCTGTCAGGGTCTCCACTGTGCTAGCTGTAGTAAGTAATTATGAAATGGTAATCCCAGAAACAGTAGCAGCGGTGGCTGCCAATGCTATAACAGCAACAATGGCAGCAGCAATGTCAAATTCTCTTCTGGAGCATGTGGACATCCACTGGCATGGATACAACTCCAGGAACACGAACCGCCAAGACCCATTTTTCTTGATCCCAGCACGACTTAGGCTGGCAGCTCTTCTGGAGAATCCAAAAGCATGGCTACAGTTCCTAGGCTTATGTTAATGCTAGCCAAAGCTGGCCATATTGGGCTCTCAGTCCCCATTGGCATCAGAAGTACAGAGTTTTTCATTAAGGCCCAATAGGTCTCTGTCATGTTGGGTTTCAGCAGCAGTCACAGGGTGCACACATCGCTCAGGAATCCAAAGAGGTACCTCATTGTCCTGAGGAAAGACATAAACAGAACCCCGGGCCCACACCAACACCAGATCGGGTCTCCTTCAAGTGCTAGTAGAAAGATCCTTCCATTATTCCAGAGGGTGATTTGCAACAGGAAACCTCCAGTGCTTATGTGCAGTGGATACTCCAGCAGAAACCACCGATAAAAAATTTTAAATATATAGAAAGAGGAAAAGAATGGAATGTGGAGAGGAATGATGAGACCCCAGTTCCCCCTTTTTTTACTCCAGCAAAATATGTTTGTTTAACAGCCAGGGTTTTAACAAAGCCAAAAGAGCAGGAATAGAGTGTCAGCTGGGAGAACACCTGAGCACGTTTTCTCAGGCCAGACTGCTGACGTCCTGTAGAAGAAGGTGAGCCTAGAAGGCTTTGGTAAAGTTGCCTATCCAAGTGACCATGGGTTTGACTGCCAACCCACGAGCCTGGCTTAAAATGAAGATCTGTGCTTATATAACCCGCAGTCTCAAGATTTCTAAATAAATTGTTCTTTTGGAGCATTGAAGAGAGGGATCCCAGGGTGGGCTCTCTCCCACAGATGCACATTAGCCTCCAGGTACCCAGCAGCATCACAGCAGGCCTGTACTGACACCTCAGGCAGAGCACTAGTCCTTCCTGATTTTCTGTTTGAAAAGATCCAAAATATCATTGTGATAGTATGGTGGTGTGAATATAATGTCCCCTGTAAGTCTAGTGCATCTACACTGGGAAGATTGAGGAGGTATGGCCTTGCTGGAGGGAGTCTGTCACTGGGTGAGGACTTGGAGGTTTCAAAAGCCACCTTGTGTTCCCAGTGTGTTCACATTGGGCTCGTCAGCTCAGCTCCCTGCTGTGGTTCAAGATGTGAGCCCGCAGCCCTCAGCTGGCTCCAGCCTCCATGTCTGCTACCCGCCGTCCCTGCCATTATGGACCCTTACCCTCAAACCACAAGCGCAAGTAAACTCCTAAATTTGCCTGAGTTGTGGTGTTTTTATCATAGCAATAGAAAAGTAACAGAAGTGTTGAATGAGAAGTGTCCCTCCCAGCTCACGTATTTGAACATGTGGTGCCATCTGAAGAGGTCATTGCAGGCCTTGCTGGAGGAAGTATGTCAGTGTCACCGGGGCGGGGCAGGAGCTGAGAGTTCATAGCCACGCCCTACTGCTTTGTGCTTGTTAAAGATGTGCCCTCTCAGCTTCCTGTGCCTGCCACCGTGCCT